CACTCTACCGTGGCAGCGTGTCTCGCCATTGCTTACGAGGGAGTTGATGACACATGCTGTTACGATACTGGGGATTGATACGCTGGGGGAGGACGACGACGACGCTGTGGAGGATGATGAGGATAGCATGGAGGTCGACCGACGGCACTCCGTTTCATACCGGGCTTGGCGGGATGAGCCCTCCGCAGAGGTTCGCATGCAGATGATGACCGAAGGCGAGGATACGCGCGTTACTGCTGCCCGTGAACGATTGTTGTCGCTCTTCAATGACCTGGAGCTTGTCGGACTGGGCGGTGTTAGGGCTCAGAAGGTCTTCGCGAGTGTAATGAATACCATGATGACGGAGTTTATCCGGGCTGCATATTCCGGGCAGTGGGAGGGACCATCGAAGGTCTCACAACACCTCCGACACTGGGTGGAGAATGTCTATGCTCGGCTGGCTGTGCAGGTCTTAGCCATCATCAATGTCCCAGAGTCTGGAACCAAAGAGGCTGACCGTCTGGACGTGAAACTCAGCGACGTGGAAAAGTGGCAGGAAATCGGCCTCTCCCGACTGGGGGCACTCCGAACCGGGGAACTATTTGATATTATAGTCGAGTGGCCGGCGAGCAGTGGTGCGATTGATGATTTGCGTCATTTTACGGCACACCCAGCAGGACGATTCCAGGTGACGCAGTCTTTCTCCGCTGTGTTGGATAGTCGTCTTTTGCACCCGGGCGCCTCAACGGTGGAGATATTGCAGGTCTATATATCGATTATCCGCGCATTCAATTTGTTAGATCCCAAGGGCGTCCTTCTGGATCGAATCGCTCGACCCATTCGCAGGTATCTTCGAGATCGGCCGGATACCGTGAAGGTTATTGTCGGGGGTCTGATGGCCGACCCTGCCGATGCCCATGGCCAGACGGCTTCTGGAGACACCTTGGTTGAATTGTCCGCAGAATTGACCAAGGCACACCAGACTTCGATGAGGAGTGATCGAGGAGAGCTGGATTGGGATGATATGAACTGGATGCCCGATCCGGTCGACGCAGCACCTGACTACCGGAAATCGAAGACCTCGGACGTCATCGGTAGCTTAATCAGTTTGTTCGATTCGAAGGAGGCCTTTGTGAAGGAGATGCAGAGAATGCTCGCCGACCGGCTGCTCCAACGGCGGACGGACTTTGATCAGGAGATGTCGGTGCTGGAACTTCTCAAGCTTCGCTTTGGGGATAATGCTTTGCAGGCTTGCGAGGTCATGATGCGGGATATCTTCGATTCGCGGCGGGTCGATGCGGTTGTGCGAAACGACCAGGACCTGACCAGGAAACCTGCCGCATCTACGCCCAACTCGGACGACGAAGACATCCCAGAGCTGCATGCCAAGATCTTGTCCCACTTTTTCTGGCCCGAGATCCAAGAACAGGACTTCCATGTGCCGGAGGAAATTGCAGAGTTGCAGCAGCGTTATGCGGCAGGATTCGCGTCGCTCAAGCAGTCCCGTAAGCTGACCTGGCTGAACGGTCTCGGACAAGTCACGGTCGAGCTGGATCTCGAGGACCGAGTGTTTGTGGACGAAGTATCTACCTGGCAGGCGACCGTCATCTATGCATTCAACTCGCCGTCCGGCGATGCGGTTAGCAAAACCGCCAATGAATTGGCGGAGGAATTGGACACGTCGGTGGTTTTGGTGCGCAGCGCATGTTTGTTCTGGGTCAGCAAACGCATCCTGGCCGAGGTGCAGCGAGACACCTTCCGCGTGCTGGAGGTTCTACCGAATGAGGAGGACGAAGCTGTCGGAGGCACTGGCGTATCAGGCATGGACGATAACGCAGGTGATGCATCGGCGGACACGGCCGCAGCAGCTGAAGCGGCGGCGGCGGCTGCAGCGAAGGAATCTGCGGAGGCGGCGGCGATGGAGAAGATGAACCTGTACTGGCAGTTCATCATGGGAATGTTGACCAACCAAGGCGCCATGCCGCTGCAACGCATTGTGATGATGTTGAAGATCGCCGTCCCGGGTGGATTTCCGTTCAGCAACGAAGAACTGCGGGAGTTTCTGGCGGGGATGGTGGCCCAGGGAAAGCTGGAGATCGTCAGCGGAGGCAACTACAAGATCGTCCAATAATTATGGCATACGACTTATGACTAATGATGTATAGATTTAATGGTCGTTACTAATTAAACATGGTATTGAGCTAAAAAAATTGGCAAGGCTAAAGCGGACAGACATTACGTTAAAACAACACTCATCCCTATCATTGGCATGTAACCCAAGGACGGAATTACTCCGCATCCAACGGGGCGACTGGGGCCTGATCGTCGACCTGAATGCCACCTCTCTTCTTCTCGTTACTATCCCAGAACGGCAACTTCCAGCCCCCTTCGTGCTCGGGCGTCGCCAACCACAGACGCATCAGATGTCTGCGGGGGGCGGGGGGCGCATGATCCGTGTACGCGGTGCGTGCGTGCAGGACGTGCGAGTTGGACAGGAATTGGATGTCGCCGACTTCCAGGATCATGTGCAGGGACAGGCGGTTGCAGGTGGCCTCGAGGACTTCCAGCGCCTCGACCTGGGCGGCAGAGAGAGGGGGGACGATGCCTGCTTCAGAGAAGCGGGAAAGAGAGCGAACGTAATACGGATCCCACCTGCGCCTGTTAGCATCCGTTCCGTGGGGAGAAAGAACGAGAGAGAACCTACTTGGTGTAAACCCGGGCGTTGTCGCCCCGCTCCAGGTAGATCACGCTGGTGCGAATGTACTCCTCCTCTCCCTTGCTGGTCTCGCCCTTGCGGTCGAAGTACCAGATGGGCTCCGTGAGGGTCTTGAGGACGTCCGGACGCTCCTTGGCGAGAGTGTTGTAGACATGGTGGGACGAAACGATGTCGGACTCGCCCCCTTCGAGGGCACGAGCGATGCACAGCAGGCCGACGATATCCGAGTCGTCCGAGTGGAAGAATTGTCTGCTCCCTGTCAGCACCACCATCTTTACCACCGGGAACCCTAACATACCTGGCATTGGTGCGGTAGATGCGCACGGAGTCAATCTGGGTGGCATCCTCGCCCAGATCCTTCACATGACCCAAGACATGGCCACGGCTGTTCTGACTGACAAAGTAACCCAGGTACGTGCCCAGACCCATGTATGCGACGGCGGACTTGTGGTTCCCCCATTCCTGGACGGGGAAACCCTTGAAGAGAATGAAGCCCTTGCCATCGACGAGGTCTGCCCGCAGTTCGACGAGGCGCTTGGCGAGGTTGGGAAGGGGGAAGTTGCTCTATACCCGATTAGCCCGTGCTCCATAGCCTCAGTGTATGATCTCCACACCCACCTTAGAAATACCAGTCAAGGGAATCTTGTTCGCCAGGAATTGATCGGCGGTCGCACTCAACTCGGCGATCTCCTCGGGCGTAAACCGATGCGTCCACTTCTCGGGGGCATCGCGATACTCCTCCGCCTTCCAGACGGTCGGACCGGAGATTTCCTTGGGGAAATGCTCAAAGGGCTTGATATGATCGTACAGCGGCGCATGCTGGCCGGTGGTCTTCAGGCCGTCGGGGAAGACATCCAGGGGAATGGTCACGGGAGCTTGGGTCAGGGCGGCCATATCGACGAGTAGACAATTGAATCGATATAAAAAGTAAACAAAGAATGATAATCCCAAATTAAAGTAATAGATAACCTCAATTGGTAGCCTTATACACTTTCCTGACCACCACGACGCACCGGCTCCCTTATATACCCCTCCCCCTCAACTGCTACCCCTCGCCGAGATAATCTCGCATACTCCGTCCAAGGTTTCCGATACTTGGCCGCAACCTTTTCCATGAAGCTTCCGACCATGCAAGAGGTGGATCACATGGCGTGCTGGCCAAGTTGAAACTTCCTATAGGACGTGGACGCCGATGCGCTCGGGCCGTGATTGGGGAGCGGATGGCGCAATCAAGACCGCTGGATGTTGTGATGCGGATCTTTTGCTTGGCTGCGTTGGCCGGCAATTCGGCAGGGCTTTGCTCCTCCAGGTACGTGTACTGCGTATCAGGTCTGGTCCATCTGGTCTGGTTTTTGAGTTGGGAGTTTCTTCTGGTTCTGATTTGTGGGGTTGAGGTTGCATTCGGTGGTTGGTTTTGGTTTTGATTTGGTTCCTGATTGCGTAGTGGTGGGTTTCGTGTGTGGTTTCTGTTAGCAATGGCGTTTTTAATCGAATGGAGATTCTTTTCTATGTGTTTGTTTCTATTTGTTATAAGAAGTGTGGGATGATGACTGTGGTATATGAGAAATGGGGACTGTCGATATAGCAAAAAGAAGTACTTCCAAGTTACGGACTACTACTCTGTGGATACAATGGTCTCGACTTGATGCCTGAGGCTAGAAGGAATATGGAATGGGTTTGGAATACCCGTCATTGTAGCCTTGGGGATATTAATTAACTTAATATCTCCCTGGAATTTTCTATTGTACTTACTACTCTGTATACGGTAAGCTGTTATATGACTAGGGGTATTTATTACTTATGAAGATCCAATTGTACCTTTCTGATGATGTTGGATACGACACCAACGCTAACCACAGACTCTTAAACTTGGCAAACGACGCAAATCTATTAATGAACAACAGAAGACACTATCACTGAAAGGTAAGGATAATATACTAGGAGCTATAGGGGGGTATTAATTAGCGGGTGATCTCCAAGTGTCAGTGGCCTATACCAACCCTAATTAGCTATCAGCACTAACTGATTTAACCTCGCCTGGCACCATGACACCTCCAACGAGACCTAAGTCAGAGTCAATCGCAATATATCTCACTTGCAATCATACCTATGTTGTTGTGCGTTATTCGCTGCAGTTGTTCTGTTGTCTCATTCCTTGATGACTCATTTCGCGTCATTTCGTATCATCACAAACTAAATCATGAAAACGAAGATTAGCTTCAGATACGAGCGTGGTCTGGGGAATTAAAAGTAGAGCAACAGCCACTGTTGAAACCATGAATACCAAGACAAAACCAACAAGAACATGGATTCACCGACACGGCTATTCCCCTCGTCTCATACCCACCAACCGACCTCAATTCCACTCTCGATCCTCGATGCCACCGTCGTCCGTTTCGCCCCCACCGGCGCAATCTGGCTTTTCGATGACTTGGGCTCAGAGGAAAACACATTCCTACACAATCTCCAAGCCTCTCTGATTCAAGCACTCGACCACTTCCCCCAATGGGCCGGTCAATTGCAATGGGTCCCATTCCAGCCAGGACGAACCCACCGGCCCATGATCACATACAATTCGGCATCTGATCCAGGCGTCGAATGGTCCGTCGTGCGACTTGCTCAGTCCATCGCTAGTGTTGTTCCCACGGCTTCAGAACGCGCCAGCAATGGGTGCTGGACCGGGGATGCTTTTACGCAGAATACATTCCTCTCGCAAACCCGGTTAGCCCTAGCCAACCTCCGCGACTACGAGGGCCTGCCCGCCATGACAATCCAAGTCACTCTTTTCGAGGAGGGAGGGTTTGCGATCGGAGTGAAAGTCGCACATTGTCTCGCAGACGCACAAGCCCTCATGGTCTTCATGCAGCAATGGGCAGCAGTCTGTCGCGTATTCCATGGCCATACGCATGCGCATTCCGTCCCCGACCCAGTCTTCGAGCCATCCATGCTGGACTCCAAAGCCAGCAGCAGCGACATCCACACCAATCCAGCCCTCATAACCACAGCCCGCAATCTCCCCCTCCACCGCTACGACTGGTGGAAGACATCCGACCCAGACTACCCAGCAATCATGATCCCCAACACCGAGAACTCCAAACCACCCCCGGAGTACCTCACGAACACCACCCTCTCCCCGTCCACCCCGGCTCCCTGGGCCACCTGGGACTTCACCAGGCCAGTCAGCTATACCCAGCTCCATTTCACCGGCCCCGAGCTTGACCACCTCCGCCAACGTGCCCGCACACAGTATGGCACCTCTATCTCCCGGTTAGACGCCCTGCTCGCACGCATCTGGACGCTCATCACCCAAGCCCGCGGCCACACCCACTCCCCAGAGCAAGTGTACCTAAACCTCACCCTAAGCGCTCGACCACGCGTCTCGCCACCCCTCCCAGAAACATTCCTCGGCTCCCCGATCTTCATCACGCACGCCTGCGCCTCCGGGGCGGAGATATGCGCGTCAAGCGTGGGCGAGAACGCATCCCGGATCCGAGAAGTCATCCAACAGTTCACCCCGGATACGCTGGGCGCGATGCTGTACGATGCGGGGATGGAGGTTGCGCCGCAGCGCTTGTGGCAGGGGTTTATGGGGACGAGGCATACGTTGGTCACGTCGTGGTTGCGGTTGGGGGTGTATGAGGTGGATTTCGGTGGATGTGGGCGGAGGCCGAGGTATGTGCATGCCGTTATGCCGAAGATGGATGGGTGTGTGCAGGTTATGGATGCTGGGGTGGGGGATGGGGGGTTGATTTGGGGGTTTATTTGGATGAGGCGGTGGTGGGGTGGGTGGTGGAGAGGAGGTTTTCGCTTGGATTAAAGGAGTGAGTAGATCTGAGTATGTATTCGATGGCTAATAGGTACAGTATGATGTAGAGCAATATGCTCGTTTCCATAGAGTAACGATATATAACTAGGCTAGACAGCCAACAGAAGTTATGATACTCTTGTAGCAACTGGAGAGCATGAACTCTAACCTACCAACAACAGTATCTCATATCCACACTGCAGGAAGGGTATAAACCATCATAATCTAGAGTATATCCACGTCAAGAAATCGAATGCCCATGGAAGCTTAAGAAGTACCAACCAACCACTTTAGATCACTTCATTACCTTAAGAGCCTCAAAGACCCCATTATAACCACAGTTATAGTCAAGATTGGCTATTCTTTCCTCCAGTGTGATATCCTTCGCCTGGACGCGAGTATCCCGCAGGACTCTAGTAGCACGCGGCCGGCGGATACTGTCTACCTGTTCCAGAAGCGCCGAAATATCCTTACGAGACATACCCGGTCGCAACAAACGAAGCGCATCCGCATCTTCCAACGCCATATTAGCCCCCTGACCCTGCATCGGGGTCATTGCATGAGCCGCGTCTCCGATAACGATTGTCCGTCCGCGGTTCCAGTTAGGCAACGGATCTATATCCTGAAGCTCCCAGACCTTCACCTCCGTAGCGATGCTGGATAAGGTCAGCCCTGGCTATATACACCACCGAGAATATAGAAGAAAAAGAGTACACACCCTAGAATCTTCCGCATGGGCTCACAGTAGTCGTCGAACGTCTCGATCATCTCCCGTCGGTTACCATCCGCGTACCAGGATTCCAGGACATTCCCTCTATTCTGCCGAGTAGGGAAGACACACGCTAGGTTCATGTACTCGGCATTCCGAATCGCATACGCTGCAATTAGTCGGTTACTTCCATCGCCGGCCTGGAAAGCAGAGATACGGCCGTCGGCTGTTTGGGGATCCCACCATGCGGGCAGATAGCCAAGCGTGTGTTTCACAGCCTCGGCAGAGACCGCCACACGATAGCAGGTCATCCCATTCTTCTTCGCCTGGGCGTCGGAGCCCACGATGCGATGACGGAGACGTGAGTGCACGCCATCAGCAACTACAAAGGGTCAGCACGTTCGGGCGGAATACTAATACCCGGTTGTTGGATAGCGCATACTAATAACCACATCGGCGCCCACAACGGACCCGTCTTCCAGCGTGATGCTAGCCTCCTCCGGGTCGATGTCGACGACATTGGTGTTGAATATTACTTGTGCGGGATGGCCCTGGATACCGAGATCTTCCGAAGGAGCGGTCGCCAGTAGTAACAGCTCATCACGGAAGTCCGACCGCTTCATAGCCAGGGTGTCTGCTCCATACTTCCCTTTGAAGTCCACTGGGAAATCCTGTAGCTGGTTCCCATTTTTGTCAAGCGCGCGGTAGCCATAGCACGGCACGGCGCCGACGCGAGCTCGATCGAAGCCCATCGTTTGCAGAATCTTGACCCCGTTGGAGAATAGACATATGCCCTGTCCGCCAGTGGCTGTGTCGGTACCGCCGCGCTCGTAGACAGTGACATCGTGATGCTCTCGGAGGATCCTGGCAGCTGCTAGGCCTGCTAGGCCAGAGCCGACTATTATAATTCGAAGCTTTGCTGTCATTGGTTTGGATATGGTTGTACTTGAGTTGTTTGCCAAGGTGGAACTGGTGGAAAATGGGAATTCGGGGAACTGTTTGCAATAAGTTCTATTTCGTCTGGCTTCGTATGCTGCCTTGTATACGATACGACTCGTGGGGCAAGAGTCAAAGCGTCGTCGTTCTCGCTGTATCTCCGATAGCCCCGGAATCCAATCATTCGACTGGCGGTGAACCACCATGCATAAGCAAATGGGAGCCAGTAAATCTTCCCCGTTCTAGTACTTATTGAAGGGAAATGTTGTTTGGTGAGCTATGGATTATTTAGAGTGGACTGGTTCGCATACACAGCGATCATGCCCAGCCAAATCTTCCAGTGACAAGTTTTGACCGCAACGTCGGTGGTTTGGTGATATAGGCATTGTAGTAGGCCGATATCAACGATGGTTTAGATGCGAGTCAGCATGTCAAACAGACCGGGCACCAAAATCGAAACAAACACATACTGCAATTAAGCATGGAATGGCTCGGTAATGAATGATATAAATAGTTGGGATCCTTTCAGTATAGTCAAGTAAATTAAGTTATACACTGATAAATACATGAGGCAACCCCTCGCATATGGAACGGCTTTTGTGGTTAGATGTCCTGACACATCCGGAATATATGCCCGGATAATTTCAAATGCATGATGACCCTTAATGCTCACAAAGCGAGAAGTCACCTGTTTCAAATTTCTGGTTCTGCTCACTGGTTCTCGCGCTCCTCTCTTGCATGAGCTCCTTCCTATACTCTTTCGCTTCTTCAAGAGTGATGGATGGATACAGGATATCCTCGCTCACCATATCCTTAAGCTCTACCGGTAATCTCCGAGACAGCATCTCAGTAACGAGTGCTCGCTTCTCTTTCCCCCAATCCTCCTGTTGAGGCGGAATGTTGGCTGAGGATATGATACGCATATGAGGATCCACGAGGAACAAGGCCAAGATTTTGCGGTGGCCTGGTTTGGACCGATCGGTCAATGAGAACGGAGAGACTCGGTGCTGGAGGATGTTGGGAAACGTAAGGAGCCGGCCTTCCTGGCAAACCACGCTGCCGAGGTTTTGTGTGATCTGCGTCTCGTCGTTGGAGCTGACCTCAGGGCTGAAGCCATAGACTTGGTGTATGTATTCATGACGGTCTTGTTCATAACGAACGTCTGATATCTCGTCCCTACCTGCACGTTGACGGAAAGCAAGTGTACTTTGGGTGATATTCTCACTGTCATAGTAGTAGATGGCTGTGGCACAGATGCGTTCATTCTGACGAGTGTTAGCACGAAACGTTAACACGGAATAGAATGATCAGCATACTAGTTGTCCTTCAACATGCCAGGTGCCACCTTCGTACTCCGGCTTCTCCGGGGTCAGTTCAATGTTAGCCAGCTTCACGATGACCTGCAGCCCTGATTCGTGGAATTTTCCCCCTAAGTCTATTTCCAGGGTGGTTTCAGGAGGTGTGAACTCCCCTGGCTCGGGGAGTACTATTTGTTGTGAGTTTTGCCACTCCTGATACTTCTGATCATATTCATCGTCGTCAGGATAGTCCTCATAACTCGGCTCCGGTATGGATGTTGGGTGATATTCAACCTCATCATAGGCTATACGTGACTGTCGTTCCCTCACGGAAGTCAAGGTCCTGTTCCAGAGAGGAATTGTCCGTGCGATGATCTTCTCCACCGCCTGGTAGAGATCCCGATGTTCAGACGGATGGGCACCATTGATGTATGAATCAATGCGACATTCACCATTCTGGCCAATGAATTTCACGTCGCAGGGAAGCCATTGGAACTTTCGGCTAAATGGTCTCAACGACTCAGTTTCCCACCTCCGCCACCCGTACGCCATCTCTCCATACCCAGCAATTGTCGCTTCTTCTTCCGGGGGAACCGGAAGTAGGTCTCCCTGTCCTACACTCCCAAGACAGTCGTCAAGGCCGATAACTCTGTCCGGAAGGATGCGCGTCCGGCCAAAAACCACAGGGAAGAGAGAGGGGTGGACCAGGTCAACCACCTTCATATCAGATCCAGGATGATAGTCTTTCTGCTCCTCTGGAACACGTTCAAAAGGGGCCACTGCATCTTTCAACGCTTGTTTCAGGTCCTCGGGGATGGCAGTGTCGGATTTCACCACACCAGCGTCATACGCCTTGAACAAACCCGTTTTCTGGAAGTCATCTGCTTTCCACTGTAGCTCTTTGATGATATAATCCATCATTTTAGGGGTTACATCCTCGCCGCTTTGGGCGATCTCTTCCCGCCATTTGGAAATGATGGCCTCGTCAAACACCTGGGCCGTGTCAGCAGTAGGTATCATTGCGGGGCGAAACGCATACCTTTCTATCCCATTCGGGTTTGTCAGTGATAGTATTCATGACACGCATCATCAATATCTCCCTGTGTACATTGACACGGCTAAACGCGTGTCAGTAAACCTTGGCCAGTGCGCGGGATAGCTTGCGGAGCCTTACTCAACCGAACCATACTCAATGTCACCATAATCCAAAGCATTGGGGAAGAGTGTACGATTGTACAACTCGCCATTCTATGAACAAAGACTCGGTGAGTTATATTCCAAACTGAGTATCTCGATGATACAGGGTGCTGGTGGGACTAACATCCGGCCGATAATTCAGGGGTAAATTATACCCCGGTAGTTGGAAACGATTTGGCATCTCGGTCGGCATTGTACGGAGCTTAATCGCTTGATATAGCAGACTGGGGATAGGAGTATGATAGATTCTCCTCATCTGATATATTATGTAGATTTATAGCATATGGTGGGGATCGGCAGCGGGGGTCAAGAGATCTGCATAGCGGGCGAACTTCCGAAGTTCCAGGCAGATGCCAGGCACCCACCCGACGCTATTCCTTTTGCGGGAGGGGGCCCACCCTTGCCTAGTTCTGCCTGGTGGATGCCTGATTCCGTTCAGCGTAGCCCTACCATAATCTATCATTTGGCCATCCGAGGCATGGCGACAGGAAATAGCCATTCCTTCAAGGGGGTTTTCAATGTCTGATATTGGCCAGTTGAGTTAAGCTATCTTGTTTTTGTCTCTTGTGGAAGAAACTAGCTCGGATAAGAGTGAGTTCTACGGAGTAGATATGCTGGAGTTGAAATTTTGTTGAATAGGAACTGTCGATATAGTGAGGTCTAAAGATGGTGGGAGAGGACAACTAAGTATTAAGTTGATAAATCATTCCGGATCATAGTTCAACGCGTCAAACATCACCAACTAGTGGATTCACATATAAAGAAAACCCACTACACAAAGCCTACCGGGGCGCCACAAAGCCTGAACAAAGAATTCCACTCTCTAGGCCAGAACTCCTTTCTCGGTGTCAAGAGGAAGACCTTTGCTGCGACTTGCTTGAGAGACTTGTTGGCAGTGGTGTCGAGCCCTAAAAGCCATTGCGACGCTTAGGATAGCAATAGTCAAAAGAATTAAGATTGCGAGAACTTCACGATGATATTAAAGGGCTCCACTGAAAGATTCCTGCACCCCGGAGAACCCCCCCCCCCACCAAAAACGTTCCAGTGACAAAATAGCCGCGGGGCCGGTCTACTGGATTGTACTGTGCACGATTCCAATCTGTGTACCTCCCGGGCTTCTGCGGCGAAGCCCCGTGGCTAACATGGGGAGGTGAAAAGGTCCTCGTTGGTGTGTGTGGAAGAGGTGGATGATACTGTGCAGCATTCGATGCGGAGATCTATTAGCCTCTGCAACACGATAAACTCCCACTCAAACAGATCATATGCTGTGACTAGATTATGTCGCAGCCGTTTCGCAAGTTGAAATCACTTCTTCACTTCTATACATTTGATCACATCCATACGTGCTGGATGAAGCAGTTCATAGTTGTAAAATGCTCGAAGATATGTCCTAACCAGCAGTCTTCCCATCATGGCGCTTGGGCTTCAACATGGTGGCTATGTATCCAAGGCAATGCATACTAGCCTTCCATGCCAGTCCCATAAAAAAGTGCAGGAAAGTATAGAATAGAAAGATACGGATTCAACTGCGAATAAGCTTCGTCTGAGTATACATTCCACCAAGCTTCCTGTGCTCAAACAAACCGTTTCGAATTGGTGCCATTGATGTTGCCAAGGTATGCAGCTATAAGATATCTTTCCCTTCTAGCTAGGATTCAAATCCCGTATGAGTCATATAAGAAATCCATCACTCGTGCGAGAGAAGCACAAAAGGTGGGCCGTTGGGAATCAATTACCCGATGTGGTAACCGGATCCGAAGCATAAAACGACTTCGACATCCTGGAATTTGCAGCGTCAACCACCTTTATATATCTCACCCCGACTTCAGCATGTCCGTCCACATCGCTGTCCTGGACACTGATGTCCCCGTTCCAGCCGTCTATACTGCCCGCGGCCTATACTCGTCTCAATTTCGCGATCTTCTTCAACCCGCCGCCGCACGGCTATCTGAAGCTGGACGTAAAATCACCATCTTCACCTCAGCCTACGATGTCGTAGGCGGAACATTTCCTCCACTGGAGAGCCTGCGCACCACCAAGCGCCCAGAAAACCATGACAATGAGGCCCAGTCCTCAAACCCCCTAGCACAGCCAATCGACGGCATCCTCATCACAGGCGCCGCAGCAGGCGCCTACGACACCGCGATACACCCGTGGATTAAACCCCTAGAGTCATGGATCCAAACAGTATATACCCGATATCCGCACGTAAAATTCTTCGGTTCCTGCTTCGGCCACCAGATTATCGCGCAGGCGCTGCTCTCCGCATCGGCCCCACAATACCCGCTGGGCACCGCCATGAAAGTTGAGCTTTGTCCGGATGGGCGCGAAACGGGGCTCGTTGCTATTGACTTGTCGCCGGAGTTTGTGGCCTCGTTCCCGGAGGCCGTGAAGAAGCTCCCGGGCGCACAGAAGCAGATGCGGCTTCAGGAGATTCATGGGGACTGGGTTGTCCCTGTTGCTGGACCGACTGCGGAGTTGCCCGCCGGCTGGGTCAATGTTGGGTCCACGGAGATGTGTCCAGTCCAGGGATTGTATTGTCCTGGGAGGGTCCTGACGTATCAGGGGCATTTTGAGTTCGATGTCTTTGTCAATCGCGAGACGTGTCTGGCGTTTGGGAGGAGGCTAAAGTGGTCCGAGGAGGAAACTGCCCATTATGTTGGATTGATTGAGGGGAAGGGGGAGGATGATTCGAAAGTTGCGGCTGAGGTGGTTGCTATGTTTTTGGTGGTTTGAATGAGTGAGTTGGACGGTCCAGGTGTCTTCCCTGCCTCAGATCTGTCATTGTATATAGGTTGAGCTTGCAAAGGGTTGGACACTGGGGTATATTGGGAAGATTTAGGAGTGGGATTCACAACTATAGCAATGTAAATAGTCAGTTGGGTGTACTTGATCAGCCTCGCCGTTTGAATATAAAAATCGTGTTTGGTTGAAGGAAGAACAGTGCCTACCACGGATACGATGGTTAAGACTATAACCACTAAATCCACTGTCGTGGAATAGCTTCAACTTATCACTCCCACTCCAGGTATAGCTCGCATATAATGTAGGGGGCATTCTCCGCCTATATATTGGTAACCACTATGAGCTGTATTCCAAGATGAATCTTCATTCTCACTTCTCAAACGATATCTAAAGATGGTGAATGCAACGAAAAGGCAGGCTGGGCAGAAATTCAAATGGATCGTCAAATAACCTAAGCGCCTTTGCCAGTATAGAAGTTGAAGAGAAAGCTAGGCTCTTCATGATGGAGTCAATGGCTATTCGCCGTTATAAATCATAAATCACAATGGACAAAGTACTCCACGGGTGAACGTGCTCTTGACTAATTCAATGTCTGCAGAACTTCATACATGTGTCTCCATAACTCAGCACTGAAGAATTGACACACGCAACACTACATAATTAACACTTATGCTATTTTGTTGGCGGCCAGTGTATTAGTAGTATACCGCAAGAGTTTGGAACATGAGTTGTTTTATGGAGTGGTGAAGAGTTCACAGATCGACCAGCTGGTTTATCCAATGATATTGCATACAAAATGGCCTGGCTCCGAGATTAATCCTACTATAATAAAGGTACACTCTGCTTATCATTTCTCAAGGCTGGTTAGTGGAGTGGGTGCCCGTATACTTGCAGGTAGATACATGCTCTTCCAGCGTGGCTGGCCTAGGGCGGTACCTAACCCGAACCTGCTATTATGTAACATGGGAAGAAACACAATTACAACTATTTGACTTCTCTTTAACTAGACTCAACTAGACTCCTAGTTTGATCCAAAGGTCATACTGTCAGATAGGAGAACTAGCTTCAAGTTTCGACTGATCCAAAATTGGGTCAGCGACTAATGAAGACGTGATCGGAGCGAGAAGCACACAATCACAACCACCGCGAATCATTCCACAGCAACCTGCTCTAATTGAACGCCAAACAATAACCTTATCACCTTATCCATTTAGCCAAGAAATCATATGCCAAACTTTTGGCCAAGAGAGTAACGGAGAGTCGATCATGATCACCAATTTCGGTATAATGCGCATCAGAAATGGCATCATCGGCGGGGATTTCGGACGAACGCATGCCCACATTTGAACCCGTGGCTATATAAACGAACATTTGGCCTTGCAAAGTCTGCCTATACATCCTGTACTGCACAAATCGCTCAGACATAACTAAGTCATAATTTAAGACATCATGTCACAGTCCAGCCCGACAGTCCTAACTCTTCAGAACCACCCTCCACCAAATCCTGCACCCCCCGCATCAGACCCCTCTATCTATCAGGTCCACCATGACGCTTTTGCAGCGGAAGGACAGCCAACCACAACAGCGGGATGGCTAGAGAGAGCGCGTAAAGTGTCTGACATTCTTGCTCCAGACGCATCGGCCAGAAGCAAAGAACAGAAAACACCCAGGGCTGAGATCTCTTTGCTGAAGAGCTCCGGTCTAACCAAGGTACTGGGTGACGTCAAGTATGGTGGTGGCGGGGAAAGCTGGGAGACAGGATACAAGGTCATTCGCGAGGTAGCTGCAGGAGATGGGTAAGTTTATAATGTGACATGGAAGTGAGTGGCCTAAAACATACTAATTAACTGCCTAGATCAATTGGTATGCTTTTGGGCTATCATCTACTTTGGTCAGTTACTGCACATATCGTGGGTACCAATGACCAAAAGGAGCGTTATGAGAAGCTGATCATTGAGAACAACTACTTCATCGGAGGTATGATACATCGGGTTTCTAGAATGAAGACGACAGGCTAACTCTCCCAAGGAGCTGTGAACCCTCGTGATAATGATAGCCGTGTTACCCGTGCCCCATCAGGCGATGGCCTTGTATTCAACGGGTTCAAGAACTTCAACACGGGAGGTGTAGTCTCAGATCTCACTGTTCTGGAAGGCGCCTATGAGGACACAGAAGGCCACATATTCGCCTTTGTACCGACCAACCAGCCGGGGATTGTCTTCTCTCACAACTGGAACAATATTGGTCTTCGTCTCACGGAGTCTGGCTCCGTCAAGATTGAAAATGTTCCTATCGCTTGGGAGGATGCTTTGGGATGGTCCAAGGAAACAAAAGCGCCCATACCCGAGGTCCTCCAGGTTCCCTTCACTGCGCTTCTGTTGCCTACGATCCAGCTCGTGTTTTCCAACTTCTATATCGGGATCGCACAAGGTGCTCTCCGCACGGCGAGGCATTATACCCTCACTCAAACTCGTGCCTGGCCATTTTCTCATGACCCCAAGTCAAGTCCCACAGATGAGCACTACGTTCTTGCCCGCTACGGGAAGTTCTTCGCTTCTTTACGTGCGGCAGATACACTAGCTGATCGTGCAGGTAAGGAGATTGCCGATGCTTTCAAGGAGCATGGGTCGAAGAGGGATTTGTCCGCGCGTAGACGTGGTGAAGTGGCTGAATGGGTTGCTAGCGTGAAGGTCGTAGCGACTCATACATCGCTGGATGTTACTAGCGGCGTGTTTGAGGTCACTGGCGCGAGGTCTACCGCAGAGAAGTATGGGTTTGATCGCTTTTGGAAGGACGTGCGGACTCATACATTGCATGATCCTGTGGCTTACAAGGAGTCCGAGCTGGGACGGTTTTGGTTGTTGGACGAGGTCCCGAATCCTACGTGGTACACCTAGACGATAGGTAGAATATGGCTTAGCTACACCCAGGACTTGAGATACTAATGAAGCTGCACTTAACGTTTGTTATTCAGAATGAAAGAATACTGCCCTGTGCAAACCGAACGGTTGCCTTGCTGCCTTGCAATCCAGGCAGATGATTTGCATTGTGGGGAAATGCATCTCCTCTTACTAAGCGGTATCTACCTACCTCCGAGAAATCCGCCAGGTTTCAAAAGAAAATCCAGGGCTTGTAGAAATATGCATTGACGGGAAATGCTGGTCTTGCCGTCTGATCCCATTCAGAAGGGCTATCCGTGATCCAAAAATGGGCTCTACCAAGAATACCCCAAACTTCTATTGCGATGTTTGTCGAGAAACTTTCCGCCGCCAGGAACACCTCGACCGCCATCTCAGGCGTCATTTAGGTGTGCGCCCTTTTACATGCTCCTTCTGCTCCAAGTCATTCTCACGAAGGTATGAATTCTTGCATATGGAGTCAAGACATGCATCTCACTGGCACACAGAGACACATTGCAGCGACATATCAGCACGCATGGAGATCAGCAGAACCAGCCTCTCCCAAGTGCTAAAAGACCTCGAAGCAACCAGGCTTGTCAGAACTGTGCACGCGAGAAGCAGCGCTGCAGTGGGTATCTGCCCTGTGTTCGTTGTACTAACAAGAACCGCACCTGTGTATTTGAACATCATTCCCAGGGTGGTGATGGTACTCGGGATAAATCATCCACAGTGCATGTATTGAGTCAAGATGGCATAGGACAAGCAGACATGAGCTTCGGTGGAGACATAAGGAAGCTTAGGCCCTTACCGGGAGACCCCCAGCTAGTGGAATATGCTAGCGCTGAAGCCCCGCCGGAGATAAGGCCCTTTAGTACATTGAGCATTCCGAACTATGTCACCGACTTGGGCAATCTGTTCACATGGGGTCCATTTGACTGCCTTCATGATCCGCAATATAGTGCTTCCCTTAACAATGGCACTGGGCTCAATGGCTTGGACACACTCTGTCAGCAAAGTCCACTCCCGTTTGAGCCTCCCCCGGTTTTGCAATCACCTAGGCCGGGCACACCTATTGAACCAGCTACCCTGCAGTCACTGCCTACTCCCACGGAAGAAATTCATCGATCTTCCCAATCCGCGTCGCTTGTACTAAATGACCCCATAGCATCTAGCTCTACATCTCCCAGAGGCGATCCAGATTCCAGTTCTGACTATGATATACTCATCGCAGAAAACTTCTTTCATGTAAGGGCTGTGCGCAAGGAAACGTATGAAAAGATCCAGAGCTTCTATCTGGCCCAGACGGACATCTGTTTCAAGAGGTTGGCCCTTCCTGACCTTAACCGTCTCAATTGCCTTGTTCAGCTGTATTTTGAATATTTCCATTCACAGATGCCATTTATACATCCAGTTATGTTTGAAAGCGACAGCTCATGGATTCTAGTGCTTGCCGTGGCAGCTATCGGAAGCCAATATACTAAAATGGCTAAGGGCAAACAATACATAATAGTTCTCTCCGAGCTCTTACGTCGTGCCATCCCCCTTGATGTAAGCCCAACGTTTGAATGAGACGCAATCAGGCCATGCTAACCGCTCCAGGCTGTTAAAGCGCTACAATACGATGCAATGACTCTGGCGCAGTCTACTTTGCTGCTCAATGTCAGCCTTGTGTTCAATGGTTTCCGAGACAATATCATCAACTTGCAGTTTCTGCGCACCTGGCTGGCTACACTTATTCGCCCATTTCTCAACCCCCACAGTAAAAGAGATTCTGCCTTGCTAGATCTCTCCCGAACTGTGACTATTTCCGACCGATGGCATGCATGGCTTCAAGTGGAAGCCCGCACCCGCCTGGTATATGGCTTTTTCCGTGCGTTGATATCTTGCTCGTGGACTCAATGGCAGATAAATGGCTTACTAGTGGATCTAGTTCTCGACTCATTTTGTGTCATATTTATTGATATGCAACCAAGCTATTCAATGGATGATTTTGAGCACAGACTCCCTTCTCCAGACGAACTCTGGAACAGCCAGGATGCTCACTCCTGGGAGTCACATCTCCAATCTTGTCCGGGTAAGTACAATTCTATTCTTGGCTCTTGTAGTACTAACCTCCACTAGAGATACCCATAATCACTCTAAGAGAATTTCTGTCATCTAACTGTAGCAGCAGCTTTTCAATTGAACAATTATCACGGTTCAACAGGCTGACATTACTACTCGGTCTCTTTGTCGGAGAGAAGCAAGCTGTGAACATATCTCGGTTTACTACTCGCTTTCTCGTCCCTAACGGTAACCCTCGCATGTTACGGTCCTCGCAGGAGACGCCCAACTCATACCCAAGCCTTAATTCCAGATACCAACTATTAGAACCGAACTTCACACCAACAACGTCAGCATCCGCTTTCCCTGACTGCTTCACTATCTGCTATCATTTGACATCCATTTTTAGATACACGTCTTTGCGGGATATACTTGCTTACACCGGGTGGCTTGTTACTAATGTGGAGAGTATCGCCGCCGGGAAGCGCATAGCTCAAGTGATGGAGAAAGACACAGAAGGTGCACGTAAATGCGTAATACATGCCGGTGCAATCATCCGGGAGACTCGTGGTGTCCTAACTCCTGCTTGCTACCAAGGGTTCAGTCTCCTATTTGCGTTTCTGTACTTATGGGTCTATGAGCGGTTCTGCACCAGCACGACTACCAAATGGCCGCGTTCAGACCAATCCTCGCCACATAGGCTCCTAAGGATCGACCGTGGCCCTGACCCAGCGCTGGAGAAACAGTGGATTGCTGGCAATCCCGACTGTCGACCTTACCTGACCGGTGTTGGACTCCTCTTGGAACCAGGGGCTTCCACGCGCCTTCTCAGAGAATGTCAACGTATTCTCAAATCTTATGATGCATGGCCGCATCTTCGAGCAGGATTTATATTAGCCCTCAATGAGCTTGTTGAGGAGGTGAACCCATTGACCGATGCCCCATATTCATGGGCCTCGTGAGGGCTTATCGCTTGGCTGCAAGAGCCGTTGCAAAGACTTCAGGCGTCCAACAGGATACGCCCAATATTGCAATCTATACAAGGTCCGGGGACAATCTATATATATTATGCAGCCGAGTTATTTCTATAGAACGACACGAGTATTCACTTATACTGTCCGTCAGATATTTGAACAACGAGACGGTTGGGCAACTTGGCATTGCCGTATAGTTGGAGTTGAAATGTTCTGCTCTTGAAATCTTACATTGTTACATACAAGCAGCTTTTATATGACAAGAATGTTGCTCATGAGTTAGCGACCCACTTAGTCGTTGCGGAGCCGATACAAGGTCCACTACCCGGTGGAGATGCTGCCAGCCGGAGCGGGGGTCCACCAGTACTGCAGAAGATAGAAGCTCCTACACAGGTTTCCGAGCAGGTATTCTGGTCAAGTCGAGGCTCCAATGCATGCACATCCCAGCTCGGTGATCGAGCGTCGGTGGAGATGCCTACGCAAGTGCCAGGGGGGGTCGAAGCTATAAGTACCCCGGTGAGGTACACACTTGAGAGGAAAGGTGCTCTGTATCAACCATACATCAGATCAGAACTAGTTTGATAGTGCACTCGTTGGTCGCCATGTCGAACATAGCCAATATTGCGGACAACTTGGGCGTGTCCTTCCTGAAGACACAGGGTGTCAGCGTTCTGACAGTGCTCATCGTTGGCATTGGAACTTTACATATCGTCCGAAGCATCTACCGTCGCCATTTTCATCCGCTGTCTCAATTCTCAGGTCCACCTGAAGCAGCGTTGTCCACGAACTGGCTCTATAAAACTAACCAAGGAGGCTTCCCGGAGCATGAATTTGAAAGGCTGCACGAGAGATACCGTATGGCCCTGCCAAGGGAGATTTAGCCCATTGACATTGTGCACATCTTGCTAACAAACACATACTCGAAACTCTAGAAACCAAGGCCCTCCGCATTGCGCCGAACGAACTTCACCTTTCTGACGTTCACCAATATAAAGTCATCTACAGCCAATCCAAGCCCTTCCTCAAGTATCCTCCTTTCTATAGCGCATTCAACATTGACCACTCGCTATTTGCTGAGACAGACCCGGCGCTGCATAAAGAAAGACGCAAAATCCTGAATCCTCTATTTTCTCGCACGGCCGTATTCAAGATGGAAGGTGTTATCCATACCAAGGCGGGAATCATGATGAAAAAGATTGACAGATTGAATGAGAAGCTGATAAACGCTTATGACGCCTTCCGGTAATCTCTCTCTGGTTAAAATTCCGTCAAGTTTTGAACGTGTGACTAATAACCTAAAGGTGCCTCACAACAGAGGTTATTATGGAGTTCGCCTTTGCACGCTCCGCCAACATGCTCGAGGAGGAAGAATCAACATTCGACTCGTGGTTCTTGAGGGCGTTTGATTCAGTCGCTAGCGACACGTGGACAGCCCATGAATGGCCTTTGCTGCGGAAGATTGGATCACGTTTGCCAAAGAGTCTTGTGAAGATAATGAACAAAAAGGTTGTGGACTTTCTGAAAGTTATTAACGTGAGACGTGCCATATCGCTACAACTTTATGTTCGCATACCCTTACTGACCCTATCTAACTAGTTCGCCGAGAGCTGCATGAATCACTATGAGAAACACGGCAATACCACATCTCATCCAGTTGTCTTCGATCACCTTCCGTCGGTGGCCTACCCTCAGAAAATCACCGAAGCCATGGATATCCTGGTTGCTGGATCGGATACCACTGCAGCTACCCTGACAGCAGCGCTGCTACATATTCTCGCAGATCAAAAGGTTCACAACAAGTTGGTCGAGGCCGTACAATCGGTACAGTTAAACGAGCAGGGAATCCTGCCACTCCTGGAATTGGAAAAGATTGATTATTTGGTATATTCCCCTGACCACCACTAGTATACCCGTCTGTCAAGAATCATTGTTCGGTACTGACAGAGATATTAGACGGCTTGTGTGAAAGAATCCCTGAGGATCGGAATGCCCGTCCCTGGCCGGTTACCTCGCATTGTTCCCCACAACCTGCCTCAGCCCTTCACTGTTGATGGAAAGGTCATACCCGCAGGCGTACGTATCTATCTGATCGACTTTAACTCAAATAGATGAACTAATCTGTCCAGACTGTCATCTCAATCTCGGCCTACACAATGCACTACAGCGAAGAGCTCTGGGGCCCTGACGCGCGAACCTTCAACCCCGAACGCTGGCTGCAGCCCGAATCCAAGAACTTGGACCAGTACCTCTGTACCTTCTCCAAGGGTGCTAGGATGTGCATTGGACAGAAGTAAGTTCAACCATATCTGCAGGAGCTACACCTAGCGTAGAATACTTTGTAATCTTTCTGCTTGTTATACAATACTGATGGCGCTTGGTATTTCTAGCATCGCATTCGCCGAAATCACGATTGTGATGGCATACATATTCCGGAACTATAAGCTCAGCCTTCCACCTGATTTTCAACGACCGAAGCAGAGGGACTTTTTTACGATGGAGTATGAGAAGCCCGGTTTGCCGGTCAAGTTCGAAGCTGTCAACTAGATTATATCGCGTTTTTATGAGTGATAACATGCTTTATGTTATATAGTGCTGGGGGTAGGTAGTTTGGGTTCTAGGATGAGCAATATAACTCTTGAGGATGAATTGTGTTTTTGTATTGAATATCACTTGCTTATAGAAAAGTCCACGACGGATAATTTTTGCTATAGAGTTCCAGACTTTCTTCTTCATAGATTACCTGGCTAAATTCATAGTACTGCAGATTATCCTATCCTTCTTCTTCTAGCCCTAGTTATGACTATATAAGTTCCATCACCACCGTCCTTTAACCCCTACCCAACACTTCACAAAACAGCACTCCACCAAATATCAAATCCCCAAGACGACATAGAAAAGCATAATACAGTCATCATGATTGGACCAGGGACTTCCCCCTGAAACACAATAGAACTTGTTTCCGGAAGATCGACACTAAAAAAAGGAATTACGAGTAGAAAGGAAGGTAAGCGAGTCGGCCCCGTCGGCCCCGCAATGCTACAGTACCACGATCGACATTAGATTCATAGCCGGGATTCTGCACTTCCTTGCCACTTGGAGTACGTACTTCTGTGGGCCATGTTACTATGTTTCTCCGTAACTGGATGCGACACGGAGGTGTTATGTTGGTGCTTGTTTGGTTTGGACTGGGCAATGGCCACGACAGGTTAATAGTTAGGCGGAGTTGTTTCTAACCAGTGGGTGAATACTAGATCAAAGAGATCTACTATTTTGTTTATTAAGTAATGACTAACCGTCTTCGGACGTATTGTATATATTATTGTAATGTCTAATTTTATACCTTTGTACACCACTGTTGTTGAATGTTAATTAGGGTTTAGTAATGGCCTTTCTATAAGGAAGGATACGTATGTGATTGATATTGTACAGGACTGCCGGGAATACCCAGAATGTGAAGAAAAAAAACGACGACAGTGAGGAAGACAATCACTTGAAAAACAAGTAGTATCAGGGATATTGGCATAATCTGGATATAGTTCACCCAGTGTCCCTGAGAGATCACAATGTAGAGCAATAATTCATTTCCATGCCTGGGGGTATTAACGTGAAAGGGTTCCTGCGTGCCTTCTTGTTAGTGCTATACGATGACATCTTAGTGTGACTCCGAGAAAAGAATTGTACAATTCTCCAAAGCCGTATGGTGGGTTTTGGGCTATATTGTCTGATATACATTTGACCCGGCTGGCTTAACAGAAATAAATCTGTATGGAGTCCACGAGCTGATATGCAAGGGTAAAGCCGATTCCAGTCTATGTATAGTTTAGTGTCGAAGTGTGACATTACCATTGATCTAGGACTCTAGGGCTGCAGCGCCAAAAGATCATCCATTGCTATTGAAACCGGGGTCTTCATACTAGGATACAAACCAGCCACATCCTATTTCTTCTTCCAGTATAATATCTCACCCCGTCTGCTCTCTTGCGCCATAATAACCCCCGGTCAATGCACTCTAGATCACTCGAACCCAAAACTTGAAACGCAGGGTCTCCTTATCCTCCCACGACCAAAGATTATAGTACGCCGGATCCATCCCATTCGCAGAGCCCCAGGTGCCCCATTCAGTTCTCACCTCGAATTTCAATCCTGTCTCCTCCCCAATCTCGTCCCAAAGCCGTTGGAAACTCTCCGCATCATGGTTAAAGAAGGTGGCGAGCCGTCCATTGGCCTCGTTCTCCTTGGTCGGCTTGTAGAGATAGTTCTGCACCTCCTTGGCCGTTGTGCTGCCGTGTTGACGTCCGACGATCAGCGATCCCTTCTGCCTTTTAAGTAGCTTCAGGAGGGCAAGGGCCGCTTTCTTCTGGCCGTCCCAGGAGAAAAGATGCAGAAAGGAGCCAGTGTGGATTATCTCGAAGCTATCCAATCTCTCGGCACGGAGCTTGTCGTTCTCATCAAAAATATTCGCCGTATAGAACGTAGACTTGATAGTGTCTCGGTCACGGAATAGCTCAAACCCAAGATCCAAAAAGGTTGCATTGAGCTCCGCAGCATAGAGGTTCTCAGCGGGCGCCCCGTCCGCGATCAAAGCTCGAATATCATGGCCAAAACAACAGCCGAAGTCTAACAGCTTCTCTCCGTGTTTGACCCGGTCAAGCACCTCGCGATATAGTGGTGAGTCGGGAAGAGAGAAGTCAAGGAATCGAAAGAGTCCAACGCATGGATACGGGGACGACGTCCAGGCTTTCTCACGCTTTGAACAACCAGTCAGTGATACAGCTCTCTCAGGATCTCAGGGGGCCATACAATCTTCAGAACGTGTTCTTTGACCTCCTCCGGCTTCAGTCCAGCGTACTCTTCTAAGACACGCTGCGCCAATGGAGGAACACGTTCAAGAGTATCAAGGTACCAAGGGATTCCATCTTTGGGGTTTCCTTGGTTGGATTGGTCGCTTGTAATGAAAGATCCCATATTGAATTAGAATACAGTTGTGTCGATTGCTGGTTCTGCCCTGGATGATTCAACGATCTTGTCTCGGGTTTCCCCTTCGCTCTCTCTAACTTTATATGCAATTCCGCTACGAACAAAACACACTGATGTCTTGTTATGATTACATCAAGAGTCGTATGACAAGAGGAGATATGCTCCTCCGATGTCGATCATGATGGCTGGCCACTGTCTCATCTTCCGAAGGAAACGTCATCGCGTTCGACTAACCGTACTCCGTAACGTCTACTATTCTAAGTGTCTAAGGTTACATTGAAAATAGACATGATCTTATCTGATCATCTCTCAGTCTGAGTTGGGTATAAAAATCGCCCATCAGCTGCGCCAGTGTCTTGGCATTACGTGAACTGACTGGCCTGCTTTGATCAACGCGTCAACCCACCCGGTTTGATCGACTCCGTTCAGCTACTCTCTGTGAAAATGGCCGTAAGGTAGCATTCGGGCTTTGCTACTATCCACTGTGATGATGAAGGCTGGCGTATATCGCTGGATATTTCCAGCACGGAGTCGTGGAGGTGAAACAAGTCCTTGATCATTCCTACCATACACACATATGCGGTGCAGGATGACAGATTCGCCTATGAGAAATGGTTGTGGAACACAGCAGAATCCCATTGTCCGTGGGGTATCCCTTTACAATTCCATGTTTGATCAAGGGCATGTCTTGCAAGATCTCCTCTCGCAGACCTACGAAGGTACAGGCACTGGTGTTGACCCATTCATGGTACAATGGGCCTCGAACGACCCTGCCGACCCTCATTGCTTCTCAAGGGCAAGAAGGTGGGTCTTTACGATAATACTCGCTCTCTCCACTTTGTCGGTAGCTTTGGCATCCTCGGCCTATACCGGCGCCGTACCGCAGCTGGTCCAGGAGTATGGCATTTCATCCACCACAGCCTACCTTGGGGTGACCCTGTTTGTCATGTGTTTCGCTGTGGGCCCTCTCCTTTGGGCATCCCTCAGCGAGATTCTGGGCCGACAAGCTGTCTTTATCGGAACATTCGCCGCATTCACTGCTTTCAATGTTGGAGCGGCGTGCTCACCCAACATACCGACCCTCCTCTTGTGTCGATTCTTTGCAGGAGCATTTGGATCATCCTCGCTGGTGAACACCGGGGGGGTAATTGCAGATCTTTTCCCGTCGGAGGAGCGGAATACTCCCATGAGCATCTTTACAGCAAGTTTGTTCTTTGGCCCTACCCTCGGCCCGATCATCGGAAGTTTCATTGGCATGGCAGAGGGATGGAGATGGATCCAGGGTTTCATCGCGGTCATGTCCGGCGTACTTTGGATCGCCGGCAGTCTCATCATCCCGGAGACCTATTCCCCCGTTCTTCTCCGCCGACGAGCACGAATTCTCTCTGCACAGACGGGGAAACAGTACCGCAGCAAGCTTGAGGAGACGCAGTCTCCCCACGCCGTGCTTGTGAAAACAGCCCTGGTCAGGCCATGGTTACTCCTGACTTTCGAACCGGTTGTTCTTCTCATTTCAATCTATCTCGCCATCGTGTATGGTATCTTATACCTCCTCTTCGCAGCATTTCCCCTTGTATATCATGAAATGCGCGGATGGACAGCCGGTATTGCGACCCTTCCCTTCCTAGCCGTTCTGGTTGGCATGGTCTTGGGCGTCTCATATTCCTTCATCCATGACCACCGGCGCGCGCGGGCAATCTCTCATAGCGCAGACAAAACCACTACAGCTGAGCAAAGATTGCATCCGGCAATGGTTGGTGCGATCGCTATTCCACTTGGACTATTCACATTCGCGTGGACAAACTTTCCATCCGTCCATTTTATCGTCAGTTGTATTGGCACTGCGCTCTTCGGTTTCGGCTTGGTCTGTATTTTCATCAGTATGAGCCACTATCTGGTGGACTCGTATTCTATCTTTGCCGCGTCCAGTCTGGCAGCCAGCTCCGTCTTCCGATCTGTCCTGGGGGCTGTCTTCCCTTTATTCACACCCAGGATGTATGAGACACTTGGCATCCGGTGGGCGTCGTCGGTGCCAGCGTTTCTAGCACTGGCATGCATTCCCATCCCGTTCTTACTCCAGCGCCACGGCCCTTGGCTGCGATCAAAGTGCCGATATATGATCGAAGCCCGCGAGGCGACAAGGGTTATTCGGAGTTAGCTTTGTAACTTTGTTGTCATACTTCCACCGACATACGGCGTATATATATGCTCATAGGTCCGAGAGCAAATGTAACTTCTTGCAGAATATATTACTTTAACATCTAATTTTGTATCTCTGTACAGCACGGTGGTTGAATATTAGACTTTAGTAATGGCCTTGCTGACTCGTTATGGGCATTTCAGCCTGATCCTATGGAGTTGATCTCCCAAGGATATCAATATCTCTGGCAACCGGCCCGTTCCGTCAAGATGGGAGAAGTGGGAACGACCCGTTCGACAAAAGTCGATTCTGGGCTCGATAGATGTGGAGGCTCTGGCCGCTGGCGGTCAATCGGTGTGATAATGCAGTGTGAAAACACACTAAACTGTATTAATATGCCCTAGCACGCTTCATACCCAATCAAAGGGTACGAGGCTGCCGACAAGGCTACGTGTTTCCAGCCAGTGATAGTCGATCAAAGATGAGGGGTCCAGATCTGAGGCTGTGGGGTGAACATCAGAACAGACAAGTAATCAGTTTGCTAGGATCAAGCTGAGCCTTTTCAAGTTTTTCCCTCTGCTGGCTGTGTCATTTTTTCATCCCTTGATTCTCCTCGTCTGCCTTGTTACATCTCGGGACCATACACAATATTATTCATCACCAGATAGCAACACTACAGTGCAAGCATGTTGGAGATACAATAACACCTCAATAAAGCGGAGGCATCATTTCATCTGTATGATGAAACATCCACCGCCATGACCGCTGAGTCGAAAAGGTACATAGTCTTATTCTCTCACCTTGTCGGGACAGGAACTCACACCGGTCTGAAAAGGAGTCTCTCACACAATGACTTTACGGTTGGATGGCTATGTGCTCTTTCCATCGAGTTAACTGCATCAAGGGGAATGCTAGATGAAATTTACCCAGACCTTGATCAAGCCGAGGGTGACGACAACATCTACACCCTCGGTCGGATTAAAGAACATAACATCGTTATCGCTTGTCTTCCAGCCGGTACTACGGGAACAACACCCGCATCCAAGCAAGCAGCAGATATGCTTCGAACCTTTCCAAGGATTCGGTTTGGACTCATGGTAGGTATCGGTGGAGGAGCTCCATGTGCCAACAAACTCCCCACTGAAGATATCAGACTCGGCGATGTCGTTGTGAGCACTCCAGACAAAGCTCTCGGTGAGATAGAATCAAGTTACTTCAAGACACAATCACATCTGACAGAATTCGCAGGTGGAGTAGTCAAATATAACCACGGAAAAGTCGTAGCTGGCGGCGAGTTTGAGCGCACCGGTATACTTAATATGCCGCCCACCCAGCTACGAAACGCGGTGTCAAAATTACGGTCTAGGCATGAGGAATATCGTAATGCAATTCCCCGATACGTATCACAAATGATCGAGAGGGTATCGGGGTCCGATGATGCGAATCCGCAGTTCAGATACATGTTTTGTCATCAGGGCTCAGAGAATGACCATCTTTTCGAAACATCCTACGAGCACGACGAATTTGCAAAGCCAATACACGCTATGAAGCCTACTTTAATCCCCGCTGTGGGATTGTTGGGCTGCGCTATAACCATCACTGCGAGTGCTGTCGTCATGCAACAGCTGCCCTGGAGCAGTACTATTGCAATATGCTCCGTGGTGTACAGCATCGCTGTGATAGCATCTGCTTTCGGCTTTCTCACAAGAAAGCAGAGTCCACTAATAAATACCCACAATGATCCTAAAATCCCTTGCCCACATTGCGATAAATCACGTTTGGTTTATCGACAGCCCCGGGAGACCAATGATCCTGTCATTCATTATGGCACTATTGCATCTGCTGATTTGGTTATGAGGCATGCGATCACGAGGGATAAACTCCAGCAAAAGTACAACATACTATGCTTTGAGATGGAGGCAGCAGGGCTGATGAATGATTTCCCTTGTCTCGTTATTCGAGGAATCTGTGATTATTCGGATACTCACAAGCATAAGCTCTGGCAAAGGTATGCTGCTGCAACGGCAGCTGCATATACCAAGGAGCTTCTTGAGATTATCCCCCCTGCCGAGGTGGCAAAAATGGGGCCAGCAGCGGATATAGTAGATATTGGTTAGTTCATATCCAGGCTAGAATAGAGGAAGCTGACGAAAGCCCATGTCCATAGTGCGTAATGAATTTGCTACGATGCATGCTGAAATGAACAAAAGCCTTGACCCTCTACTGAATGGTATACAACCCACCAATTGAAATGGCCTTTTGCTTCTAACGCCTTCGCAGAGCAGGTGGATAAGGAGCATAACAAGATCTTGAATTGGCTGGCTCCTTCATCCCATGAATCACAACATCTGGATGCTTATAAAAAGCACCAGCCAGGTACTGTAAGATGGTTCCTAGAGTCTCAAGAGTTCCTCAACTGGATGAGCGGGGATGTACCGACTCTGTTTTGCCCCGGTATACCTGGTGCTGGCAAAACCATACTGGCTTCGATGGCAATAAAGCATCTACAAGAGCAAACAGATGGCCAGTCATGCATCACTTTCCTGTACTGCAACTACGCAAAGAGACAAGAGCAAACAACAGAAAACCTTCTATCTACCCTTCTGAGACACGTTGCTGAGCAATGCGACCTCATTCCGGAGTCAGTCAGCTTGCTTTATGAGTCACATAAAAAGAAGCATGTAAAGCCGACTGTTGAGAGCTTATTGGACACGCTTATTCAAATTATCAGGGCTCAAAACCGAGCATTTCTCGTGGTTGATGCTTTGGACGAATGCTCGGACGAGACTCACAAGGGTTTGCTTAAGACAATTCGAAAGTTACAAGATAATACTCGTCTGGGCTTTATGGCAACATCGCGCCCTTCACTAGAGCGAGAAATCCAAGGTGCTCTGCGACTAGAAATTCGTGCAAGCCAAAACGACATTGAGAGCTACTTGGACGATCGTTTTCAGGAGTTATCGAAATGCGCCCAGCAAAATAGTGGATTAAAGGAGAAAATAAAGCAACAAATCTGTGAGGCAGCTGATGGCATGTAAGTTATCCCATCCTGGTACCTAAGCTATTTTCACTATACTCTAATAGATTTGAGTTACAGGTTCCTCCTCGCCACCCTTCATATGGATTCATTGAAAGACAAAAGAACGCCGAATGAATTCAGAATAGCTCTCCAAAGTCTCCCAAAAGGGCAGGGAGCATTGGATGTGGCCTATGACAATGCAGTTAGCAGAATTGATGATCAAGGAACAAATGGCCGTGTGTGGGCCCGTCGTGTTCTATCCTGGGTGTTCCATGCCATACGGCCATTACGACCGATTGAGCTTCAACATGCTCTAGCGATAGGAGCCGGGGACTGTCAACTTCAAGAGGATAGTCTCCCGGTATTTGAGGAAATTATCTCCCTCTGTGCAGGACTTGTCATGCTCAATCAGGAGAGCCATACCATCCAGCTAGTTCACTACACGACTCAGGAGTACCTCAGCAATCTTGACTGGATTCAAAAGTCAATCGACGATATTACAACAAGCTGCATCACCTATCTCCAATTTGACGATTTTGAACGCGGCTCCTGTCCATCGAAAGAAGAATTTGAGAAACGGGTTGAGCTACATCCATTTTACATATATGCTTCTACTAGCTGGGGGCATCATGCCCGCTCTTCATCGATCGAAAAGGAAGGTCTGATTATGGGATTTCTTGAAAGTAAGGCCAAGGTGTCCGCTTGTAGCCAGGCTCTTGTGAAATCCAGATTCCGGGGGGTAAAGGATGAGGATGTCCCTGGGCAAGCGACTGGAGTTCATCTTGCTGCCTATTTCGGCCTACAAAAAGCCCTCGTAGCGCTATTAAGCAGAGGGAATGACAAAAATGCCATAGACGGCTACGGTCAGAATCCTCTCTACTGGGCAGTTGAGGGCGGAAATGAGGGAGTAGTAGCTTTACTTCTTTCCTTCCTGTGGCGCTAATCCAAATATTTATACTGAAAATGTTCTTCAGACGCCACTCATCCGTGCCATATCCAGCGCAGACGAGAACTTAATAAGACTCTTACTTGAAAGCCATGCTGACCCAAACTTTTGCTCAAACGGGTTTACACCACTCGGCATAGCTATACACTTTCGGCATGAAGGAGTTATTAAACTCTTGTTTCAATACGCTGGTCCAAATCTCTGCTTAAACGGTTTCACACCATTTACCACCCACGCTCTATCCGCTGGACATGAAGAAATTGTCAAAATCTTACTTAAATATGCTGATCTAATCTCTCTTCAGCCGGTTATGGACCACTTGTGTACGGTATTTATAACAAACAGGGGGGACAGTGAGACTACTGCTTGAAAATCATGCTGATCCACAGCTGAGCATCCAAGGTGAAATACCACTATATGTGGCTATATTCCGCAAACACAAAGGAATTATCAAACTCTTGCTCAAACACATTGGTCAAAACCTCTGCTCAAGTGGTCCCACACCACTGCCTTTGGCTGTAGTCGAGGGGTATGAAGAAGGAGTGAAACTACTGCTCGAACATTATGCCGATCCAAACCTCTCCTTAGTAAATGTAGAAGAGGATATGCAAGCCGCGATTAGCACGGCTAAAGAACTTGGGCATGAAGAAATACTCGAGTTATTACTTGATAGCAGCAAGGCTTTAGGTTTGGAGCACTAAGGTTTTACACACTCGCCGATCATGGAAGACAAGCATACACCAAATTTCTCTTCAGCATCAAATCGTGTACATTAACAGAATAATAGCATATTGTATATACTATGCTCTGACTCGACCCCAGTACAATTCCTGGTTTATTATAGGTCTACACTTTGGAAGATGTGTAAATGGTCGCTTATCCCTTGACTCTATCTACTAGGAGAATAATCTTTTGAACGGGTATAGAATACGAACTCCAGCACAAGTACCGAGGACCTAGATGAAGAAGCAAACCCTGATGCTGCGCAGCGGAGCGTTAGCGTAGCAACCAATATTACTACTTCATTGCTTCAATTGCTTTAACTATCTAAGCTGCTTTAACTACTTAACAACTCTTAGCATATAATTTATCTGCGTAATATGTCTTTTCAGCCCAACAAAAGAAGGCTGGAAGTCCCTCGGTATAACGACAATTTCCCATTTAATCACGTGAGTATCCCCCAATCTCCAAATACCCTCTTTGATACCAGCTACAGCTCCTAGTACTATTCCACCTAGCCCTTACATTTTAGACGACATAATGCTCCAAAAAGCACGGTCCCTCCTAAATCGATCATCGACATCTTTTCAAGTTCTCTCCGATCTGCATCTCGAGCTCAACTCGCAGTATGCGTCGTATGACATCCCCGTTTGCGCGGACCATCTGATTCTCGCAGGCGATATCGGCCGCCTAGCAGACTATGACGCATATCGACAATTTCTCCAAAAACAAACAGACCGCTTCAAGCAGGTATTCCTGATCCTCGGGAACCACGAGTTCTACAACGGGACTTTCGCAGCCGGGCTGGAAAAAGCCAACCAACTTGAACAGGAACCGTGCTTCAACGGCCGGTTAATCGTGCTTCAGCAGAGACGATACGATATCCCGGATTCAGCTGTGACTATCCTCGGCTGCACGCTTTGGTCACATGTGCCCCATGCATCGAGAGATATCGTGCGCGAAAAGATCAGGGATTTGCGAAGCATTGAAGGCTGGTCGATTGATCAGCATAATGCGAACTATGAGTCTGATCTCGCCTGGCTGCTGAATGAGATGAAGGCTGTACGCCGGGAAAATGGAGATGTGGAAAGGCAGAGGTCTGTTCTTGTTGTTACGCATCATGCGCCGCTGCTGAGGGGGACGTCGAGTCCGCGGCATGCGAGCAATCCTTGGGGTGTGGCCTTCGCTACTGATGTCCTATCTCAGATACCGCTGGATGGGGTGAAGGTCTGGGTGTTTGGGCATACGCACTATTCCACTGACTTCAAGGAGGGGGCCACAAGAGTTGTGAGTAATCAACGGGGTTATGTGCAGCCTTGGAGGAATTCGGGGGATGATACACTGGATGGATTTAATGAGAGGAAGGTTATACGTGTGTCTTGACGGTTTGTATGTATATACTTTCAGTCTCTAGCCTGTAGTCATAGCGGTTGAGTGCTTGTGTGGGCTAACTTATTCTCATCCCAATTACCAGATTATACTGAGAAAATTTTATCTCTTTGTAAGCTTTTAGGCTGAGAAGCTATATAATGAACTTATGGAGGACTTGTCTTTGATCTGTTAAAATGTACTGAATGATAACTGCCGACCCACCAGGCCAATTCTCATTGGCGCGCAACATCAACCCTTACATTTTAGCTTCAAAGGTTTAGTCGACTACCCTGGAGACAAGCTATAAATTCCACCCTGTCTGTCCCAAATTTAAAAGTTTTCACAGACCCTACTCCCTGTATAGATATCCCTCTCTCAGAATCAACACCAACTCACACTCTTTGGCAAAAGATGACCCCCAAAATCGGCCTCATCATCTGCAGCCAGCGCACTCCTCGCGCTGGTCTCCACATCGGAACTACCATTCTAGACGACCTCCAAAGCGCCGACAGTGTCCGCGAAAACGCGGTCACACTCTCACTCATTGATCTGGCAGAGTGGAATCTCCCTATGTATAACGAACCAGGCATCCCCTCTCAGATCCATTCATCCGACCAATATCTCCATCCGCATACGCGGAGATGGTCCGAAGAGATCGCTTCGTATGCAGCGTTTGTGTTCGTCACTCCACAGTACAACTGGGGGTATCCTGCTAGTATCAAGAATGCGATTGACTACCTGTACCATGAATGGAAAGGGAAGCCCGCCATGATTGTTAGTTATGGTGGACATGGAGGTGGGAAGGCGGCGGAGCAGTTGAAGCAGGTGTTGTGTGGTGTTCGCATGAGACCGGTTGAGCGGACGGTTGGATTGACCTTTCCTAGTAAAGATGCCTTGATGGCTGCTGCGGAGGGGCGGGAATTGGATCTGTCTTTCTGGAAAGGGGAGAGGAGAGAAGTAGTGGAGGTTTTTGGGGAGATGGTGAAGTTGCTGGATGGAGCTTGAGTTCCTTTTTGGTTTAGTAAATAGAGATTTTTCCGAATATGTGTATGAGTATTAGTATAATCATTCGGTTGGGTGAATACTTGATTCAAGATATGCTTTATGGCCTGCTCCGAGTGATCGCAGCTGCTGTAGGCCAAATTCTAGAGGTTTGGCAGCCACCGGGGAGTATTCCCGGACGTATTCAAGCGCATTTCGGATGGTCTGCTGTCGTTTCGAAATTATGGTAGAGTAGTCAATGGATTCATGGAAGCCATTCGAGTCAGATAAGAGAGACACGGAGGTAGAGATGGCATCTTCTAGGGCAATGAGCGTAGAGTTTGCCACGCAATCCAAAACGCCCATGAGGGGCTGAGAGTACTCAGATGGGCGAAGTGGCGCACGGCCGTCCCCGTCTTGTTCAACATACGGGACAGCCGGCACCACTTCGGCGAGATACCAACCTTCTATCTGGCCATGTATGGCCATGGCTCGTTGCACAAGTCTCTCTAGCTTCATCCCATAGCTTCCACAACGCAAGATACCCGAAACTTGCTCAAGAAGCACAGGAACATCCACCAGCCAGTCGCACAGCTTCGATCGCAGAGCAGCAGCCCGAGTTCCAGGTGTCAACGCAGTCTCTTCCGTTTCTCGCAAGAACTCCCGCCAAGGGGACTGTGCGAGAAAGCACGGCTGTCGCAGGTTCATGTCCTGAACAATCTGCCAACTCGTCAACATTGAAGCTCCAGAAACACATCGATAGACATACGAAAAACGCCCTCTGCGATTCCAGCATGGCCCGCTCAAACGGTTGCTGAAACCGACGTATGTCACAATTCGCAATGAGAGCCTTGGTCCCGTGCGACAACTGGTTCCACCGCCCATTATCGGCATTTGTCAAGAGCTGTCACTTATCAGTCTAGCTCAGACCAAGAGCGCAAGTATCATACCTCGCACAACTGCAACACAATCGAAGCACAGACAGTCTCCGACTGAAGGCAACGCCCGGGATCATCTAGACACAAGCGTAGCGCCCCAGTACTCTGGGCATATTTCCGCCAAGCATCTTTCGAAATAGCCCCGTTAGCAGCCAAAATGTCTGCATACACAGTACAAAGGCAAGCGATGGCAGAGTCCAGAGCAGCATTTCGCCCCAATCGACCTGGAATATACTGATAAAAGCTTCCATGTGAGTTCAGAGGGAAAATCATCTGACTCATGGAATCCTGCATGATATAGACCAGATTGGCCGCATCATGGTCCTGACCTGAAATCAAGGGCCAACAAATCCATTCGTAAGAGCGAATGGTATGGTAAGTATGGTTGCCCGCGGACCTCGATAAAGCCACAGTCTCATCTCGGTCAGCACCAATTTCTTCAAGGAGGTACTTCTTCTTCCGATAATGCACCAGGAGCGAAGCATTCTCATTGACAAACTTATACTTTCTTTGATACCCTGGGCAAATGCGCCCCGAGACGACACAGGCCGTGCATGCTGGTGCCCTGTTGTCGCACTACGGAGTCGGGGAAGGTTAATCACGGTGTTTTCTCTTTTTTTTTCTCGAGGGACCCTTACCTTTTTCTTGCGCTTCCGACAGCTTTCGCAGCCGGTGCTGTGGGGAACTCCCACCATGGCGTGAAACAGGAGGATGGCCAACCTAGTTGATGGATGCGAGCTATCAATCAATCACTTTGCAAGGCTGGGTCCCCTTTGTTGCTGACTAAGATGGGCCAAGCCATCTCCTTATTTTAGCATCTTGGGGGCGAAGTCATGGTTTCCCATTGGAGATATCCGACTGTATGGATGGTGATTGAAGACTCCAATACGGCGCATTCTGTAAATGGGTGGATAAGACCCTGGTCACCTTCGGCGGCTAACAGCGGATCCTGAAATAGTAGGTAAATCTTTTCACGACCCTGTCTTTCAATTCCCACCGTCCCTTCCATTAAGGCTTGAACAATAAACGTCAAAGCGTAAAGAATAAAATAAGATTAAAGGAATCAGGGCAATGCCCAGTCACTACAACTCAACTCCACTCGCAGATAATGCAGATCCATGCCAGACAAAGCGCCAGTCGCTCCACCTCCAGTGCAACGCTGGACAAATCAACGAGACATGGGGAATTCACCGTGAGGGCTGAGGCTTGCTGCGCTTCTGCAAGGCTGAGCAAAGTAGTATTTATTTCGCTGCACACCCGCGCAGATCAGCCGATGTGTTCCCACCTACCCTTCGAAATCTAAAGTCGCAAGCGACGCAACACACTCTCTTACTTTCTTCTATTCTACCCAGCTGAGACCGGTCTGGACTGGTCGATTAACCTTCATTTGGAAAATGTTCTTGCAGTCTGTCTTCGCGCTTTCCCTGGCGCTACCCTCTCTTTCAACCGCTGCAAGACTCTTTGCGACCCACTACGATGGCAACGTCTACTCTCTCAACTTGGAGGGAGAAGGCGATAAATTCTCGCTCACCAAGACTCACAACCTGACCACCTGCGGCGGTGCCGGCTCGACGAGTGCGCTGACCGTCGACCCTGACCGCGGGCTGCTATGGTGCGTTGGTGAAGGCACTCCCGGTGCATTGACCGCGTTGCAGGTCGAGAAGGACGGCAAGTTTAACGAGGCTGCGACGGTAGAGACACCCCCTGGCGGTGTCGATAGTGTCATGTACGGAAAGGACAAGCAGTTCCTCGCGATAGCGCATTAGTATGTTCCATCCTATGGTACCAATGATGCTGCACTTGGTACTAACAACGTGATATAGTGGCAACTCCTCCATCTCACTCTTCAACATTCCCTTCGCAGACAAGCAGAAAGTAAACCCCTTTGATATAGTGAGGTTGCCCCAGCCGAAAAATGTTACCGAAAAACAGCCCAAGTCGCAACCACATCAAGTCCTGCTCGACCCCACCGGATCGTTCCTCCTATCGCCGGATCTGGGAGCCGATAAGATGCACGTGTTTGCGATTGACCAGAAGTCCGGTAAACTGAACAAGTGCGGATTCAACTCGACGATCCACTTTCCTCCAGGAAGCGGGCCGCGTCATGGAGTGTTTGTGACCTCGAATGCAGCTCACCACGCCTGGGTGGGCAGCAAGCCGCATGGGGGGCGGCTGGCAAGGCGCAACGCAGAAAAATCGGTATTGTATACCGTAGAAGAACTCCGCGGCTACATGTGTCCGTTCGACGTGTCGTATGGGAAGGACGGGTGCCCCGAGTTCAAGCAGTTGACGGCCTGCTTCCGCCCTTACCCCGGCTCCAAGTTTCCCTCGAATAAAACGACATTAGGTGAGATCCGGGCAGCGGGGCCAACCGTGCATATCTCCGTCCGCAAGGATGGTAAATTTGATGGAAATGATTCCCTGGTGACCTTGAAACCAGGACAGACAGCCGTGACCGACGCCGACCTGGTTTCGTCTGGTGGGAAGACCCCGCGCAGCTTCGTGATCAACAAGAAGGGGGATCTGGTCGCGGTCGGCAATCAAGATTCATCCACGGTAGTCATCATTAAGCGAGATCCGCAGACTGGGAAATTGCTCAGTGAAGTCGCTTCTCTGCTGGTCGGCGAGGCGCCCGCGGAGGGAACTTGGGGCGGCTTGAGCAGCATCGTCTGGTACGAGTAGATGCCTGTAGTTGGATACGTGTATTGTATACATAAATTCTTGGCCGTCCGTGATTCAGAATAGAAAAGGCGCCTGTCGGCTTCATATGTCTCATGTATGTCTTTGAATATCATTCCAAACGCGGATCTTGCGAGTCATTCAAGTACAGAGTGTAACAGAACACCAAAATGCCACCGTATAGTGTATATAGACCGCCCAGCGATATTATAAACACATCCACACCAAGTTGCAAATCAAATAAAAACGAGAAAAAGAAAAACGAAAAAGCCCAGCTTTCCAATCATCCTAACGTGCGTGGCATGTACAGGTTAGTCCAGCCTTTGAGAAGTTCGCCCCGAGATGGACGGGGGCTCGTGGATGAATGCATTGTCGCCAGCTTAGATATCATCATTGAAGCGTAATCCTTTTGAGTAACCAAGACCCTCAACATTAATCGTAACATCCGTAAAACATGATCCTGCAGCGTAAAGTTCAAAACGTCGCAAACGTCAGCCCGATGGCTCACTTAAATTCAAGTTGGAACGCCTTCCACTTGCTTCCCATGGAACGACACCGCGGACAACCCCGGGGAGGATAGCTCGTCGGACCGTGTGACATGGCGCTACCTGGGCTCGAGGTCACATTCCTAAAGGACGCAGTGGGACTGCTGATATACATCCCTACACACTCACGGCATACCCCACAAATGCATTCTGTGCAGGCATAGCAATCGCTCAACGCCCAGGGCCGATGACAGCTAGCGCAGTAGACTTGGACCTCCTTTTGCCGAAATGATGCTGGAGTTGGGTTGGAGAAGCGATGATGCTGGCGAGGGAAGAGATTCAAACCAGGACTGGAATCGGGTTTTGCCAACGGCCCAAGATGGCCCGAGAATGCAAAATTCTTCCCTGATGCAGTCGATGCCGAGTCCAAGGAAGACTCAATGGACGGGAAAGGCTCCAGATCACTGTCGCGGCTGCGGGCTGTTTCATACGGTGGGGGAGTCAAGGACTTATGCAAAGGGGACGCACCAAAAGAATGCGGTGGAAATGGGCGGTGAGAATTGGGTGGGGGTAATCCGCCCGCCGACTGGAAAGCAGGAGGGAGTGATGACCGATTCCCCGGAGCAGAAGGGGCAGAGGTGATGTTCGAAATCAGAGGTGCGAGGGTCGGTGACCGACCGACCTGGGACGGAACAGTTAAAAGCTGTTCGCGAAGAGACAACGGGTGAACCCGTCGTTCCTCGGTATCTGATAGCGAACTCACCTCCGACTGTCGGTCATCATCTGCCTCCGTGGCCGACGTAGCCGCTTCAATCAGATCCTCCCAGCGCTTGCCTTGGGCCCACGCTGCCGTCTGCGGTTCAGCGGACAGCGCTTTACGATCGCCCAGGCTAGGGCGCCGGCCATATTCCTTTGACTTGACCCGCTCATGTTTAGGTTTCCGTGCCGCTGATATGGAGGACTTGCGAGGGCGGGGCAATTTGTCCCTTCTCTGGATGGGAGGAAGGGTTGATGAGCGACCAGGAGGCGAGTGGTTGAGAATCGATGGCAGAAGCTCTCGCGGGCGTGGAGAAAAAGGTGGCAATGATTCCTGTTTGAAATGGTCGCGAAGGGAGGGTAGCTCAATGGAAGACCGCATGCGTTCCCGTCCGATATCGTTATCAGAGTGGGTTTCCTTGATAAAGATTAGCTTATCTTCAGGGGAAGAAAAGAAAAAAAAATTAAATTGAGAAACAAAACAGTCTGGCCTACATACCATATCCGTGTCCCAGTCCGAGGCTAATCGATTATGGTGCAATTGGGCTAATGCGACAGCAGCAGTTGCGGCAGCAGGATGAGCTTCGTCGATTCCCCGTGGGGTTGCGGGTGAGCTGGCGTCAGCGACGTATATATCTCGATCGGCTGGATCGGGACGTGTCAGCTTCTCCAACCTCCCATTACAAGTCATGACCTATGAGCTACACTCACCATTGCGACGGCGAGATTGAGTTTGATTTGGCGGAGATATCTGAGCTCGCTGTTCCGGAGGGGTGGTGACCATCAAGATAAAGCTCTCTTCGGTGGCCGGGAGCTTCGGAATGTAGTTGTTCGGATGCGCCCGACGGATATGCTCCTGCATGGAGCGATAGCGTTTCTCCTGTAGGGGCACATAGCAACGTTAGATATGAACTCATAAAAGTTTCAAAACGGGCGGACAGTGTTAATAAGCTCAGATAAACATGGAATGCTGGTCTTTTCGCACGATAAAAGCGTCGCACAGCTGCGATAGTGGGCGTTTCTAGAAGTGGGGCTCCGATCGATCGGCCGACACACAAAGAAAAGTTGGGGGAAATACTCACTCCGAGGCATCTTTTCCGACAATTGGAGCCGTCATTATTCTTCAAGGGGCAGACGACTTCATTATTGGCGTCGGTGACAGAGAAAGAACTAGTCAAAGACGCTCGAGGCGGCATGGTCTGCATGAATCCGTCTTTGGCGGCGGGGTGAGTGGACGGGGGGGAGGCGAACAACTCAGGTGCTAATGTATGGAAGGGAGATAATCCCATAAATCGATCAAATGAGAAGGTTCAATTCAAGCAGCAGAGCCCAATCGACAAGCACATGCGCCATCAAAGGAAATCAAAATGATCCGCGATGGTTTAAAAAAAATCGTATGCAATCTATGGAGGGGTAGAGGGGTTCTGGAGACTCGGGGGAGGAAAGTGATCAAGGTGGTAGAACGAATTGAGGTTGAGAAGGAAGAAAAGAAGAAAAAGATACAGAGAGATCTATAGGGCTTGTGGGGATAGAGGAATGAGTAATAGTGCAAAGCTCCAGTGCTTTGCGAAGAGACGTAGGTAGTAGTACTCTTACTCTGGAGTCGTCGAGTACTAAGTTAAAGGTCGCTGTAGCAGTCAAGGGAGAGGGGAAAGGGAAGCTAAGGTCAGTTAGTGGCAGTCACTAACGTACTGTTAGTGGGTAACTCAATACTCTCTCTCTGGAGCTTAGTGAGTGCCGGTACGGAGTTGTAAAGACGGAAAATGTAATTTATAGCCCAAGGTGACAGCCCGTAGATGGGGGATGACAAACAAAAAAAGGGGACTAACTATGAGGAAGAACAATAAAACAAGACGCAAGGACAAACCAAGCAAGGAAATCGAAGAGTTAGAAAAAAGAGAAAAAGAGGAAGGGAAAAAAAAAAGGAGCAAGCACAAGAAAAATATATGAAGCCAAACAGACAAAAGTCTCCAGTCCAGTATCTTGTGTGGGTGGGCGAAAAAAAAGCAGTAGATACCGCAGCTTAGCTCCTTTGCTTTTAAATGGTCACCCAGTGGTATTGCGTGTAAATTTTTTTAATTACTGGGTATGGATACCTCACTAAACCTCTAAGGGATGGAGGCCCTCAGCCCCCGGGAACCGCCGACCGCGTGGCCTTACAACCGGTTATGCAGGAGGCAAATGGACTGAAAGATTCAGCTATGAGAAAGGACCAAGAACGAACAAAGGAATGATCTTTCATAGTGAATCGACATTGCGGTGCGGCCTTTTCATCAAAGACTTGCCCGTCGCATCCAGATACATAAAGGGAAACCAAATTATATGAAAAGGGCTCCGGGTAATAAAAACCCCATTCATGGGAATAATTCCAGCCTGCACAACCAAGGTTTGTGACATGGTAAATACCACCTCGTACCAGGGAAAATGACAAAAAAGTTACTACCATAGTTGTTCTTCCTATGGGTTTGTCGTCTGATTGCGAACCTCACATGTTGGTATCGATATATCATTTACATGATTCGGTGGGCGTTGAAACATAAGCTTACGGAGTTATAATCTCGCATCTATCGATAGCTACCACCGTAGCACCTGCCGATAAGCATATCCCTTGACCGATATGATTATCCCTTGGGGCTTATCGCGTGGTACAACATGAGCCCTCCTGTACATTGGAACCTTCAACAATAGAGCCAACCCGGTATTACTAGTTCAAAAACAGAAATAGGAAAAGGCAGAAAAACAAAAAGAACACAGGAAAAAGATTTTGATCGCCGGCATAGCCGCCCAGAGACACGGTTCCATTTTTGGTATGCTCTTGTTTTATTGTAATGTAGCCTCCCGAGCCTGCATTCCTCTAATCGAGAAGAGTGGATGATATGATATGATCTCATACAAATGGTAGCCGGTCCTGGCATGCATTGAAGACACTGTCTACTTGTAGACGGAAGTACTAATGGTCGTACGGCGTAGGACGGTCCAAAAATCAATGACACTCGCATTTCCTGCTCAAAACTTTAGTGTAGAGTGACTCCATTATACCTCGGGTGACATGACCGTACGGTAAGAAATTTTTCTGAGAGGTGTGCACCAATCTGAACTCACCGAGTAATTCAATCACTCGGGCAAATGATGATCATCCTTGTGAAGGGTTCAACTCTACTATACGAGGCAATATTGAAGTGTTTCGCATCCAGGGCTCTTGCGTCCCCCCACTAACCTACCTTGAGGGGATTTGCGCTTTCAGGTCCCCGTTTGAACCTCAATACTGGGACATGGAAAATATGGGCATGTGGGAATTGAACAGATGCCATCGTTACCGTATCATACATACCGACACACAGTACAGTATCAGTGACCAGCATTTCGGAAAGGCCGGTGGGACCGCTTCCCCTCTCTAGAGGTTTGCGACAGCTGCAGGTAAGCATAAGGGGGATTTTTGCCAAGTTTCAAGCCCTCGAGAAATGCTCACACTTCGAGTAATAGAAATTTCCAGACTATGACCAGACTTATCTAATGGAATGAAACTAAGCATATCGGATGATACTCCTACGACTAGTTAAACCAGGGTGTTTTTCTAAAGGATAGTTTACTACTAGCTGAATCGGCCATGTTACGAGGCGCGCTAAAAGGCGACCATGTGCAACCTACCCCTCCTGACCCCTCCCACCTCTCCAGCTCTCCCCAGCTCCGAATGTTGAGCTTCCCATGCAACCCGGCCCAGAGCTCAAAGCTCGAGCTTTCACAGGTTTTCTGGTGCTCCGTCGGGCTATCACAGATCAGGTTTAAGTCGGTGGCGACATTCCCACTTAGCCAAAGTAGCGGCGCCGCCACTCCAGTTCCTTATTCCCGTCCGAGTGGGGCCGGTGTTGAAACAGGAGCCCTCAAAAGAAAAAAAAAAAAAAAAGAAAGAAAGAAAGAAAGAAACACGACCAAAAAATAGAAAATTAGCAAAAATAAAACAAGTGGAAGAATTTTGCAAAGTTTTTTATTTTTATCTTTGCCTTCCATTGATGCTTCGAGAACGTGGCGATCAAAGGGTTTTTTGCCTTAAGAAGGATGAGGCGTATAGGACATTCCATGGGTTCGAAGTGGCACAAAAAAAGCAACACAAGGGACCTCGGAGAGAGAGTAAATCCACCTTCACAGTCCTAATCAATCGATAAGTTCTCCATAACCCTCAACGACTAGTGTACTCCTGAGTGCACACTATCCTCCCTCCCACACGGAGTGGAGGGGTTGGTGCCCAATTTACTTAAGCGAAGAAGACGCCGTTTATTCCCGTCCGTGAGTTCGGATCTTCAGAAGACTTGGAGGTTGACCCCTACCTGGAAGCATTTCCTCTTTAGTGCACTAAGACATGCGGTGACCTTGAAAATTGTAGCCTGGTTTTTATTTCCAATACATACTACGCATTGCCCCGGAAGGGAACAACGACGGACGATGCAGACGACCCGAAGGATGCACTAGCTGTACCAATTGAGGGATTCTATTCGGACGACTTCCTTGGGAGGCTGGAGGACACCCATACTAGTCTATAGGTACGTCGTACCTTAACTATTGCCCTAAGGGACAGGGATTGTGATTGTTCTGGAAAATGCAAAGTTTCATACTATACCCACATGGCTGACCGATTGAAAATTTTCTCATCAAATAGGAGGTTGACATTCGTTCAAGTACCTATCGAGTGGAGCCAACGTCCATAATTAGCAGGCAACCATCCCGTCTAGTTTGGACCTGGAGCATGGAACATCCAGACATCTTTGCTAGATACTTGAGATAGTATACGACACACCAAAGAAAGAAATCGAGAAAAAGAGTTTTCTAAAACATGATCCTTTTACCTTCCTTGCATTTTCCCCAATGCAAAAAGAACAGCTTGCAGAATGAATCCTTGATTCTTAGTAGTATTTTTTTTTCCATACGAGGAGCGATTATTAGTACTGGTAATCAGGAGTAATGTCTCGTCATGCAACCTGCACGGCAGCCAAAGTCCGGGCGAGGACACCTGCATGGGGCGTCAAGCTGCCTGCGTCGCTTTTTTTTTTTCTTTTTCTTTTTTTTTTAATTTTT